GTAAATTAGTCTATTTTACAAGCGTACCCAGTCGCTGGCGCCGTCATATTACAAACCAACGTCGTTGAGATAGATTTTTATTAGTCAGTATTCTCTATGCAAGATAACATCAAGTTTCCGCATATTCGAACGGGTTCCTTATATCGTTTTATTAAATTCCATTACTTCGATTTTATGTATGTTTTTACTACTTTCATCTTAATATTGTTTTCTCTAAGTATTTTGTTCAAAGATAAGATTTTTTATTTTCTTTATATATGTAATATCCCTAATAAAATAGGGTTGTATAAAAGTTTTTTTTTTATCAAAAATTGGTTCGAAATTATTAGATTTTTTTTCACAAATTTATATTCGGTTTATACACGGATTACCAAAAATTTTTGAAAATACGTACTCACTTTTAAACATTTCACTAATTTACGTACATATTATAAATGCTAATATTTGGACGGATGGATGGATATTTATTTGACGGTATCTCCGGAACTTCTGTATGGATCTCGCTGATATTTGGAGTAGATGTAGAACATAGTCCGGAAGAACACATAATCTACAAAGTTTCTAATTCCGCGCAGACGGAGTCGCGGGCCACGACTAGTGTGTAAATAAATATTTTTTTTTATTTTTTTTTATTTTGTACACTTTACTTGCTTACTTATATTTCCATTATTTCTTAGTCGTTTAAAACCTAAATCCACTTAGTTGCGTACGACTGTTCACATTTCGGCGCCCGCTTCCACTGGCGCGGCTGCTAATCTAACCGCGTGTGGTATTGCTTAGTGGAAAAGGGTCTTAATGTAGGCGTATTTTCACCTGGCGTTAACAGCGTTGGTGATGGAGTGATGTGTGGCTGATGACGTCAGTGCTATTACGAGCACAGGGCCGCTGTCCTCTTGCTATTTAAATGCCCGGCATCTTAGGAATTCAGTGTAACCCACCTACGTATTTGAACCTTAAGGGATAGACATTAAGTGTCATTATTGTGTAATATAGTTGTTATCGTATAGGAAATTGAGTAGCGAAATTCTAGTCTGGAATTCGTTGAAAACAAAAATTTACTATAAATAGTAAATTCAATAGGTAATAATAGTTTTGGGGGTTTTATTATTAGCGTTCTTATTAATCTTACTAATATTATTAATGCGAATGTTTGGATGGATGGATGTGTGAAGGTATCTCTGAAATAGCGCAACGGATTTTGAAGAAATTTGCCACACATATAGACCGTAGTCTGGAAGAGCACATAAGCTATTTATGAAGTTTTTATAAATTCCGCGCGGACGGAGTCACGGGCGACAGGCTAGTCTTACATAAAAAATTATCATGTCAAAATGTTAGTTATCATACTCTTCTGAAACTGCTTGACCGATAGAATCGGATACTATTTTTTTAAACGCGCGGACGGAGTCGCAGGCGTCAGCTAGTTGATGTATATAATTACGAATTATAGAGATATGTCCGTAGTTCAAATATATTTCAACAGTTAACTAAAAGTGAAGACTTTCTCAATTTAGAAACATATAAACTCTACTTGGACAAGTCGTAAAAAGGGACCCTTAGATTCAAGTTAGGCGCCCCTGATACATTAATGTCTTTTAAGGGTTACTAACAAGTTTTGTCACATTTTAGTACTTTTGTTCATCTCTGAAAGTTCTCGAATAATTTTATATAAACCTTGAAAATATATATGGGTTATGTTCAAATATTAACATATAGATTTTATATATATGTATGATATAAGTATGTCTGTAGCCCGTGATTCCATCCAATCCAAATAAAAAGCTCTTCATCAGCAGCTTATGTGTTCATTCAGACTATGTTTTATATGCCATTCATCGAGATACGTTGAGATATTCTGAAGATACTTTTAAACATCCATCCATCCATCTAGATATTGGTAAAGGAAAACATCATGATGCTGCACATATCTGTGAAGTAAGTCAAAGATATGTGTGAAGTCAACATGTACTTTGCCAGCGTTGATTATGGTCTAGTCACCAACTTTGGGTAGGAGAGACCCTCAGTGAGGATTTATAGTGAGGGTATGATAGTTACCAGGGCATCATAAACTATAAGCGTATAACTCCCTTCAGTTACACGCATGACGTGTTTCGTTATTAAGTAATTAAATTGTAATTGCCTTCAACTGGGGGGTTCGAACCCCGACTACGACTCTAATTAACTATTTAACTGTTATGACGCAATTTATGCTCTCCTAGTAATATTGAAGAAATTATTTTGTAATTTAGTTTTTATTAATTCCCTTTTCCTTGTGTAGTAGTCTCAGCACTCTTCCGTACTAAGATTTATTTTTCTATAAGATAAGGGACAAACGAAGAGGAACACCCGAGGTTCATAACCGACCATAGACATCTTTTTATACCAAAGTTTACTTTCACACAATCCATATCCATAAGAGCCTGTGGTGGAGCGTCGGTGGCGTGGGTTAAGCATTTGTAAACAGGTCATGGATTCAAATCCCGCCATGTACCAATTTTTAAATGTACATATGTACATTTATCAGACGTTCTCAGTTTAAAGAAAACATCGTGATGCACATATTTGCGATGAAATTCAAAGATGTATGTGATGTTAACCCGCACTGGGTGTGAGTTGACTATGGTCTAGTCACCTAACTTAGGGTAGACTCCAAGCCCCTCAGTGGGGACGTACGCTGATGATATCCATACGTACTCTCTTTATTCTTCCTATATCTTTGTAGGAATTACTTTTGTATTCGGTTTCGTAGACTTCACGGTGCCATAATAAAAAGTATGTCGTTATATTTCTATTTCATTTGTTCTGCGTAACATGGTTTATGCATTAACCAAGTTGAGTGAATTCTCCTATAATACAATAACTCTCGTTATATGTTATGCTAGCTTTCGCCCGCGGCTCCGTCCGCGTGGAATAAAAAAAACTTAGTTCCCAGCAATTATTCGAATTTTTCTCACCTTTTAAACCTTCTCTAGACCTACACGAATATTTCAATGCCAAGATAAGATAAATCCGTTTAGTTGTTCTCGAGTTATAGCGAGACTAACGAACAGCGATTGATTTTTATATATATATACTAGCGGACCCGACAGACGTTGTCCTGTCTACACGTCTTTAATTTGAATAAATTAATATGAAGTTAATATTTGATGAAAATTGTGAGTTTAAACCATTCCCAGAACCCCCCCTTGAACACACACAAAAAAATTCATCAAAATCGGTCCAGTCGTTTGAGAGAAGTTCAGTGACATACACACTCACAGAAGAATTATATATATAAAGATATAGATGTATAATCTGCCTAGTATAGGCTACAATTTATATGGAAAAATAAACGGTTTTGGAGTCTTTATTTTAGATTTTGACCACGGGGATAAAACATTTAGTTTTCTTTTAATTTGACGTGGATGAAATCGTGGGTAACTTAGCCTTACTTCTTACTAATATTATAAATACGAATGTTTAGATGGATGGATGGATGTTTGTTTGTAGGTATCTCCTCAAACGGCTGAACGGAACACAATGAAACATGGCATACATATAGAGCATAGTTTGGAAGAACACATAGACTACTAATTATGTTTTTTTATACCGCGCGGACGGAGCCGCGGGCGTCAGCTAGTGGAATATAAAATTAAAATGCTGTCTCTAGGCAAGGCGTGTCCCACAAGTGGGACACTAGTGACCCAAATTGTATAAGTTAATTAAGCAAAGCGTTCTTCCCTCCCTTGACAATAACAGTAATGTTTATTCAATTATTACAAATACCTCAGGGATGTTTTATTAATTACTACCTGTCGCCCGCGACTCCGTCCGCGCGGAATTAAATAATAAGTAGCCTATATGTTCTTCCAGATTTTTTTTTATAACATAAGGTGGCAAACGAGCGAGCGGCCACCCGAAATCGCTAAAATAGCGAACTGACCGTTGCCGATAGATAAACGCAATTGCATATGCGTTGCCTACCTTTAATCAACGTAGGAGAGGATGTACAGAAAGAAAATGTTTTCCCTTCCCATGCATCCTCTCATCCGGAAAGTCCATTTTCACTTCCCACTCTTTCCTTATAAGATAAAGGGGGGAAGGGTAGGAGGACCAAATTAGGCCTCCGGGACGCACAATCATCAGACGAAACGCGGAATTGCTTCCACTTTTACGCCTGTCTTCTGTGAGGTCGTGGTATTTCACCGGGCGAACCGGGCCGAATCGTGCGAAGATGTTAAAGCGGGCTGTACCACTGTTAAGACTATGTTCTACGTCTATGCCAAATTTCAGCGAGATCGATGCAGTTGTTCTAGAGATATCTTCAAACAAACATAAACATAAACATTCGCATTTATAATATTAGTAATAAAATGATTACAAATTCAACGCTATTGTTATGTTTGTAGCAATTTTTTGTCAACATTTTGAGGAGAAATGTCACTGTGATTATGTGAGAGATATTAAGGGCGTAATTAAGTGGCAAATATATAATTCAGTGGGGCTATAACTGTTATATCGTTGGTAGCAGACCTCTGTTGTAACAATTTGCTTACGATAATTTATCTCTGAGTGAGACATACTCCAATAGACATTATTTTGACTGCATATAATTATAATTATTCATTAGATAATTAAGTTAAATATAAACAATGGAATATTTAAGAAAAGTATTTTTAATTATTTTTTTTGGTAAATTTATAGTAAATGACCGTGTCTGTAAAGCCAACTAAAATATGTAACATACCGCACGGGACAATGAACGCCTACTTCGTTCGTCGTATCGTGCTAATATTATAAATGCGAATGTTTGGGTGGATGGATGTTTGAATGTATCTCCAGAACGGCTTAATAGATGAAATTTGACATACATATAGAACATAGTCTGTAAGAACACATAAGCTACTAATCATGTTTTTTTTTAATACCTCGCAGACGAAGTCGTAGGCGATAGCTAGTCTTAGAGATAACATATATTAATAAGTAAAGCTACAATAATATTTGTCTTTGTATGTTTGCAGATGTAGGCTACGAGTACGTGGTGGACCAGCAGCCGATCGGCAAGCTGTTGTTCCGACAGTTCTGCGAAAGGACGCGGCCTCAGTATCACAAGTACAATGGATTCCTCGATGCCGTATGTATCCATACATGTATCCATACTTTGATATGAATACATTAATCCATTATTATTAAACTACGTATTGTAACTATTTCTATGTTTAATACAAATATTGGTTAATTATAAAATACTAATATAGAAGATTTTTACTAGATGTCGCACGCGACATCGTTCGTGAGGAATTAAAAAATGTTTATTAGTAACGTATGTGTTCTTCCAGACTATGTTCTACATCTATGACAAATTATAACGAGATCCATGCAGTCGTTCTAGAGATACCTTCTAACAAACATCTATCCAAACATTCACATTTATAATATTAGTAAGATTGCTAATGTTTAAAATTTCTTTCTTGAATGACCATTTAGAGTCTTTGTTTCAAGTGGCACTACCCTAGTGTGAACCTAGTATAGGTAATATTTGTTTTGAATAGATGATAAACCACAGAAAGCTGTTGCGTGTTCAGGTGGAGCGGTACGAAGTGGGACTGGAGGAGACGCGAGTTGCACTCGCAGCGGAAGTGTTCGGCAGATATTTGAAGCAGGAGGGAGGCGAGGCAGTCACCGATGTTGTTGTGCCAACGGTTGTCGATGACGCCAGCTCACTGCTTGAAGGTAACTAAGATGTAGACGAATCTGATGTAAGATTTTATTA